GCCATAAAAAAATGGCAGGCTTCTTCCACATATGTTGGGCCAAACCTTTGTTCATGGGAGATTCCCCTTCCTTCAATGACCAGAGAGGGACCCTTCAATCATGGTGCACCAAATCTTTCCCGTCTGCATCAAGCGAGACCATTTTTAGAAATTGAGGCCAGGCATTCCAGCAAATTTTATAGCTGGTGTTAATGGTTTATAGCTTTGCTGAATTTTATCCTTCTTGCTTGCATAATGCTGGGGGTCTGGATTCTATGATTTTATTGTAGCTGGAGATATATTTTTTTTTACTTGTGCACCATTCTGGTACTGAATGGTGCCTTATAAAATTTATTAGGTAAAGAAATACGATACTTCCGAATATCACAACAGTACTAAGCAGCAGCAACCTTCTATTCCTTTACCACTGCAGACTCAGTCTTAACTACAATTCTATGGAACAGCCCAAATACAATTTGTTACTATCTGATACTAACTGTAGTCCATTACCCTGTCTGGAATGCAGCCATTCCATTAACAGAAGCTTGCACTCACTGCATTTGCTAAGCATACAGCAGTATTAAAGAACTGGACTCTAATTATGTACACAAATCATACTAACCAGCATGCAAGCCCAAAAAACAGGTGGTGGGGTATAGAAAATGGATTGCTGTAAATGGGTCCTTATCTGGCTATGACCTCAAGGAACATGTTGCTATGTGTATCTTGCAGCAAAAGAACAGTGAAGTTGCTAACACCCTGAATGGCAAGAGGTGTATTCACTGAAAGATTTCTGAGAATGTGGGTCTAAGTTTGGGTCACATCTTCCAAAGAATGCAGTGTACCAGCAAGGAAAGGAATTGGCAGAGGCCAAGAAACTATTTTTAAAGAACCAAACTGAAACAGATGACAGTATTATAATTGTATTAAAGCAGATAAAGAAAGGGTTATTTGGCCGTTTCAACATCTGCTCCTTCAGAGTAGTGAAAACCTTAACCAAGTGTTCCGTCTTCATGGCGTCTTTGGTTATCCAGTTATCAGTGTCACCAACAAGAACCATGGATCAGCACACAGAAGAGGTTGTTAAGGGAGACATCATGCCCAGCCGTGTTTTTCTCATGCCTTTCAATCTATGAAGGTCAGGTATTATTTTCTCCCACATATCCTTCAGTACAAATGTGAGAGCCATATGTGGGCAGTTTAGGAACTGGAAATGTTTGCCTCACATTTTATATGCTTAAAATATTTTTACCTACTTTTTAGTCTACAGACCAACAACATTAGCCCAAGCATTTGTAATATACAATCTAAAATAGATAACCACAACACCACACTGGCTCTCAGCTAAGAGCACAAGATTAGGGCTCAGGCAATCTGGGTGACAGTCCCACTCAGCCATGGAGTCAACTGGGTGACTTTCGGCCAGGCACAGACTCCTAGTCCAACCTATCTCACAGGGCTGTTGTTGTGAAAATAAGATTGCAAGCAGGAGAATGATGTAAGCCACAGAAATAGGTGGACTAGAAATCAAATAAACAAACAGAACCAAACTTTCCCAATATTTATTTATTTATTTAGCATTTTTATATGCCATCCCAGTCGCATAAGCCTCGTAGGGTTATATAGAGTAGGGATATGAAAATAACCTGACAGGGAGAAGCTAAGTTAAGATGCAACAGAACCAAAGATTTTAACAACCTCTCTCAATGACAGTGGGGTTAGCTGGGTCTCCTAAGGACAGAAACTGCAGAACCTGTGTACATAAAACATCTTATCTTGCGTCACAACCAGTCGGACTGCCAATACACCAACAGTGCATCCTGTAATAAAGACCTACATTTCCCATGAGGCGGCCTCAGACTACTCCAGGGACACTGTGCGATTGTCAACAAGAAAGGGATGTTACTGTTAACTTCACTTCCTCAATGGTCATACTCCTCCTAGAACAGAATTAGGAGTAATCCACGGATGCCAAGTAAGAGTAAATGCAGTCACACTTACAATTCAAAGACTGTGTGCATTTTATTCTTTTTGAGAAGGGTTATCAGAACAAACATTCAGGATACTTCCATGCCAATGAGAAAAAAATCCAGAAAAGGAGAAAAATTCCAGCCAGAGAATCATAGAAGTTGGTAGGGGCCAGAGGGCCATTGGGTCCAACCCCCTGCTGGTAGAGGACTCCAGGTTAAACCACCCCTTTTTGATGGCTGTCCACTTGCATCTTGAATGCCTCTAGTGTGGGAGAGCCTACAGCCTCCCTAGGTCAGTGGTTCCATTGTCATATTGCTGTAACAGGGAGGAAATTTTTCCTGATGTCTAGCTGGAATCTGGCTTGGCGTAACTTGAGTCCATTAATCCATGTCCTGCACTCTGAGATGAAGATGCCTTTTCAAATGAATTCTTATCTTGTTCTCAACATGGATCAGATGAACCACTATCTTATATCACATTTCACTGTTTTACTGCCCAGTAAATCTAACATACTTGCTAGGATTGCTAACCAATATTCTCAGAATTTCTCAAGGCTGCTTCTAATGTTATTTTCTGTCCTTAGACACAAATATAGAATGAAGGTCAACAAATCATGATGCACATATCTTCAAAACGTCTACAAAGTCTGGGTAGGTTTGAAAATATACACTTCCTGTTATGTTTCCTATGCACAATGGTCAGAATTGTGTGTTTACACTCTCCTGTGTGCCTGAATAACAGCCAGAATGCAAAACAGCTAGCTTGAAAAATCTTCAATGAGTTGTACTTGCCAAGGATCTGAATGAGCGATTTCATAACATGTTTTCATCAGCTATCCCAAGAATTAGAAGCAACCTGCTCACATTGTGAGTCAGTAAATCCCTTCTGAGCTTAATAACTTTAAAGATGCAGGGATTAGAGAAGGGGGGAAAAATCACTGTGCACAGCTACAATGGTATAGCTGTGCTTGTCCGAGAAATCTCAGATCCTACAGTCAATGCCAACAGCCTATATTAAAGGTCCGTAACCTCAGCTGCCCTTTTCCTCTACCAACAGAGTAACTGCAGTTATAATTCTCCAAGGTTCCTTTCACTGGGGGGCGGGGGGGGGGGTCAATGAACGCCTCTAATGAGGATATGTTTTGTGCAGATTTAATTCCACTCCTCAAGGGAACCCACATGCATACACATCTGGTTAATGCCAGGGCTACTGATCATCAGTACTGTATTGGTACATTTAATCTGAAAGGGAGTAACTGGGAACAGGAAAAGACTCTTGTCTAAATATTACAGCATTAGTGAAAAAGGAACATAATCATAGGACTTTTGCTTTTTCTGACCCCTCCATCTTCTGCACTAGACCATATTTGGTGGACTCCAGGAAAGGACCACACCTGAGTGGAAGGTGTGTCTTGCATTTTGAATCCCAAATTCAGGTTCACTGTTGAGAACTCTTGCTCATGTATATTATTTTCCCTCCAATATGTTAGAAGTTATCTCAGGGGAATCTAAAAACTCACTGCTTTAACAGTACCAAGCCAAATGGACCTTTTGTTCAACAAAATACAGCCTTGTGCTCATCATGTTCCCCTTCAAATAAATTCTTGTCAAAATGGAGGAGAAACCAAGAAGCCCACAGAAAATATCAAGGGCCATATCACAGCAAGTAGGAAAGGATGAAAGATCAGAAAAGGGGTAATTGGGTATCTTGGCAGTGGGCACAATTGGCTGGCTGGAATTTCCAAACATTTTGCTCTCTTGTGTGATGAACTAGTGAACAAGCTCCTCTCTTTCTCCATACATTCTGCAGGTAAGATGTTAACTAAAGAAAGGGGCAGCAGGGCATATGTCTGTCTCTCTCTTCCCTCCTGCACCTCATCTGTTTGTTGTTGTGGGCTTAATATTAAGCATGAAGAAGAGCCCTGAAATAATTCAAAAGATTATGCCCTACAATTGAGACATTTCAAGTCATATGGAAAGTATTGCTATTAACCCAGTAGTGAGTCTTTAAGATTTTTTCCTTACAGAACATCCCAGCTACCTGAAGTTTGCACCTTTTTTGTGAAATTTCCAAAAGTAGGTCCCTTGGATGCTTCCAGACAAGGCCTTTGTCCTGCAACCCCCATGACTCAACTATGTTCTTTAATGGAGCATCATGCTGCCTTTGGTTTCCCCATTTTCCCCACCACTTTTCCCATCCATTAAGAAGTAAAACATGGAACAGGCATACCATGTCTTTGCTTGGTAGTGCAAACAGCCCCATCTGGGAGCAGTCCTCACTGGCTTCCAGTGTTTGTGTGTAAGTCTGCATCCCCTCTGTAGTGCCTTTAAAAATTACTGTTACTCATACAGTACTGACAATCCACCAAGGTATGCTAGATTTCTTAATACTCTACAACCAGTTTCGGATTAGCTTTTAGTCAAAGCTTCAGTCTTAAAACATTCCACGTGATTAGCCTACTCATACACTCAGAAGCATGAATGGGTAGCCTTTTCGTTGGTGCTACACTGATGAATCACTGCGTACTACCAATTTATCACCACTGAATTAACTGTTACCAACTTCCAAGTCATGTTGCGGCGGATTATCATCAAGTGTTGCAGCACCGCCCCCTGTCCGAAGCATGCAGAACTGCACCGAGGGACGCTGCCCCTTCATTCCAGTTGCTAGTCCGAGAGCAGGCAACGTTTAGTACGTAAAAATTATAATTTCGGTTTCAATTAGGAGTTCCTCTGTTTCCCCAAGGATACTCCCGACTGCTTTTGTTTGTTTGCAATCCTCGAGGTGCAATTCAACATTTAAAAATTGTGATAGCTCCAACTACTTTTTTCTTGTAACGCTCGAGGTGTAATTCAACGTTTAAAAATAAAATGACAAATCGCCTTAGGCATAAATCCCCTGAAGAACGTTATTTTTAGCCTACAATCCTATACGCATATCCGGGAGTAAACCCCTCTGAACGCGGCGAGTTTTACTTCTGAAGAGGCATGTACTGGATTGCACCGTAAAGTATTCGATAATCTTCAGCACAAAAGAGTAGTTTTCCTTACCAACTTCTCTCTGCTCCCTAAAGCAACGATTTGCTTGCTTGCTTGCTTGCTTGCTTGCTTTTTCCAGCTCCTGCTGCAAAGGGTTAACGTGGAATAGGGATTTTAAAAAAATCAGGAAGGACTACAAATTCTTAAGATCTCCTTTCCCATCTCACCTCTCCCGTGTTTTTCCAGCTGCTCTGCTTGGGAGACAATAAAAGCAGTCTGCAGAGAATATTAAAAATAAAGGGAGCCCTAAAAGACAGCAGCCCAGAAAGGAGGAGATGACTTTAGTTTGACTTACCAAGCGCATCCAGCGGTTTTATCTCGCGACTTGCCTTTTCCAGCAGCTGAGCTCAGTGCTCAGGAACGGCCATCCCATGTCAGCGAGCCAAGCCCCCCGTCCGCCCCCCAGAGCCGCTCTCCACGAGGGATGTTAACCCCAGGCAGGCAAAGACTGGGCGTCGGGAGGCGGGCGGCGCTTGCGGGCGGCTGCAGCGTCGTTTTCTTCGGATAAAGATCAGGAACTGTTTCCCAATGCCAACCAGTGACCGGTTTACAAGCACGGCAAGCTCAGAAAGACTGCAGGGTTTCTCCTCCGCTACTGTGTTACTTTCTTAAAGGGACCAAGCCCCAACTCGACCCGCAGGAGAGTCAATTACTGGGGACGGCCAACTGTCGAAGATCCAGCCTCTTTTGGAGTAGGATCATGCTGGGAAAGGTAGTAGCAGCGTCCAGAGGAGGGGTCGGGGCAGGCTGCCCGAGACTGGAGCCCCGAATCTCTCTGGGAGGTCGCCTGCCCCACCACCCTTCAGTCTGTGGGTACTGGCTGAAATCAAGTTACGTGGGGCCTGATGATCGCTGTTGCATCTGATCCCGCTGGATTAGCTGGATTTCTGTTCACATGCGCTTCTGGACCTGTCGCCTCACCTCTGAATCTTTCTACCTGTGGGTTTTTCTGAAATCAGATGCCCTCCGCTCCCATGTTCATACATCCCTTAGTACAAGTAGGGGTGTCCTTAGGCAATAGGATCCTTGAAAGACACAGGGGGTATGTAAATAAGGTTGTGCAGATGTGTGCATTTTTCTTCCCTGGATTTGAGCCCCAGAGCTTTTCCATACCTAGCACCACCCCTGGTGGTGTCCCTCTGAGAATGCTCTCTGAGATGGCCGCAGATGTACTAAGTCAACAGCCACACACATGCAGGTAGGGTGTGCAAGGCACATGGCTTGTGGAGCCCATCTTGGAGAATCCAACCACCTGGAGGATTGCATGAACCACAAGCCTGGAAAGGTGCAAGTAAGAGGACACAAGGTAGGAGCTTCTCTCAAAAAGCCTAAGTGTGTAGAAAGTGGATAGGGAGCCATTTTTCTGTATCTCTTGCAGAACTAGAACTTGGGTCACCCAAGGAAGGGAAATGGTGAGACAGGCCAGTAGAAAGTCATGGCGTTATGGAGCACTGCCACAAGATGGCAACTGAGTTAGGCACAATCCTCTGTATGTTTAGACAGAAAAAGGCCTACCCTGATGGCTGAGGCATGCTGGGAGTTGTAGGACTTACATTCTGTCTCAACATGCATTGGAGTCTGCCCTTAGATGGCTACTTGCCAGGATGGCTTGGTGCTACCAGCAGTATGGGAGGCACCATGTTGAGGATGACAGCAAGAAAGGGGGATTGCCCTCTTCTCCCACTTGTGGGCTTCTGCATCTGGCTGGCCAAGAAGGGACACAGGAATCTGGATGGGACTGACCTCTGGTCTCAACCAGGTGGCCTCGTCTTCTAATACTGAACAGATTCTCCAAGCAGCCCTGGGGACACATGGGTTCAGGCTCTCCTTCCCTGCTTTCTGCTGTCCTGAAGAAACTGACAGGAGGAGCCAAGGTCTTCGTCGTAAGGAGGGGGATGGGAAGGCCAGGTTGGCCTTGATCTTCTGGGGCAGTCCTGTGACCCGTAATCCTCTGACCAATTGATGTTTGCACTCCCCTTCAGCTCTGCAGACCCAGGACAGCTTCTTTCTGCAAGATTTACCCATCTAATGGTGTGCTTTTTTCCACATTTTAAAGCCACTCATTCAATTATGATTCAAAAGGAATTTCTCTTGAAAAGAAATTCAAAGGAGAAGGAAATGTTGGAGAAATTTGCATGGGATCTTGTGTTTAGCTTCCTTATCAGGTGGCCAAGGAGTATGTATGTATGACTATCTCTCTCCCTTCATTGTACAATCATGTTTCCAGCCGCCTGTAGCCTCCCCTGCTTCCTTTACTTCCAGGGAGAAGATAGCATGGAGTCAATTCCTCCCACAGGGCCGTTTCAGACTTGTAAGTGTGAGCCGCCTGGGAGGCTGCAGAGCAATTCAGAGAAGTGTCATAGGCAATATGGGCATACACACACAGCACGCTTATCCACCGCAGACTGATTAGCTAAGCTTAAAACAACACCCAAAGAAATGCAGAATAAAATGTAAAACTCCCTGAGATTGAGGCGATCTTTTATGAAGCAGGGGGGACTGTCAAAAAATAGGACAGATTTTGGCACAACGCTAGTTCAGTAACTCTTTCCTGGCGCTGGACACAACACTGTTCCCTCCACTTCACATGCTACAGGACATTCGGGGAAATGGCAGTATTCTACGGAACTGCTTTGGAGACATAATTTATCTGAAACCACTCCTTAGAAATTTAAGGTTTGCAAAACCCTGGGATGATGCTGAACCCTGAAGACTGACATGTAGGGCTGAACCAAAAGTTTTCAGAAGCCCTTTTTCTCAGAAAAGCTCTGAGACATTTTTCTTACCTCCCCACCCCACCCCACACACACACTATAGAATTTTGGAATCTTCTCCAAATTTTCCTCACCATTTGGGTGTGTGTGGGAAGGTGGCTCCCTTTCCTCCACCCTACTCCCCCAGGCTCTCAGACTGCTTGGTCTGGAGCATAGGACAGGATGCAAAATGTGGTCAGGTTGTCAACACAGTTGCCATGATTGCTACTTGCATCCTCTCCACACATACACAAACGGAATGACCTTTAGGAACGGAACGAAAAGCTGTGCTACAGCTGCTGCCTCTAGTGCTCAAGCCCTACCTGTGAGAAACTGTTTATCCTCTCCCTACAACAATTTGGAGAAGTCCTCCCTCCAGTTTCTCTGCCCTCAAATAGGGTTGAGAATTTCAAGAAGTCATTGACCCACATCCCTATTAACATAATCAGTGCCATCAATTTACTCTGGTGTTCTTAACGGCTGTGTGACACAAAGATGGCAACAGGACCCCTCCCTGACACTAAGTCTCTTTGATGGACAAGTGTCACCAATTGACACTCTGCCTCTCTTTAGCTATTAAAGGCACATGAGGTCAGCCCCAAAATAAAAGTGTCCAACCGGTTCCCCAAGGACCAGTTTTCTTAGGGTGCAATCCAATGCTCCTTAGACAGGAAAAAAGTCCTCCCAGGATCCCCCAGCCAGTGAGTTGTAGGACCTTTTTCTACCTAGACATGCACAGGGACTGTTCCCGTAATCTCTCCATTCTTTTGCACTTCTGTATTGTTGCACCATAGCTGTGACTACAAGATCTTTTGAACTTTTGCTCTGGAGCACAATTCATGGTTTTGCATTTCATTGTCCAAGCCATATTGGGAAGATCTGAGACAATAGGCAGAAATGGTGATACCTGTTTCCCATCAAAACATTTTTACATACGAGGCACATGATGTAGTCTAAGGTGGGTGAAAATGCTGGGCTGCTTGCAACAGATATTTGAATGAGCCGTACAGGTGCCTTGCTTGAGATTCATGTCTCACCTTGTTCTTCTCACACATAAATTACCTGGGGCATAGGTTTGAGGATTTGATTTTGGGGCTTGTTTGGGGTTTTTGGAGGGGGTCTGTTCGTTTGTTGCTTTTAACAGGAAAAAGTCCTACAACTCCCAACATTCCCCAGCCAGTCATGCTGGGAACTGTAGGGCTTCTTTCTGTTGAAATATGCATAGGACTGCGCCCCCTAGGCGGCTATGGCAATGATGCATTTGTGTTCCTAGTGGAAGGAATCATAGCTCAGTGGTAGAACCCATGTTTTTTGTGTAAAGAGACTTTTGATCTCCAGCTTAAAAAAGGATTTGGCTTTTCATGTAGAAAGAAGTCTAGGAAAGCCACTTCCAAGGTAGAAAATATTAAGCTACATGGATTAATATTCTAAATTGGCATAAGAGAGCTTCTTTTCTTGTTTTCTTTCCCTAGCTCTCTAACCCCACCCCACCCCCCATTTCTTGAAAATATCACTATATGTGAAGGCTTCCAGACAGAGGACTTCTAGCAGAGATGTGGTAAATTTTGACGTTCAAGCAGTCATCACGACAGTTGTCATAACCGTGCCCCAAGGACGGACTAAATGATCAGACCCTCTGCTAATCTCGGTCAACAAATCAATTTTTAACAAACTGATCACCTTAGGGGCACTCTTTTGTGAAACTATTGGGTTATAATTGCCCATTTGATACCAGCCCACTACAAAATACTTTTCATTTGAACAGGAAATAATATAATGTTGCTGGGGGAAAAATTGTTCCTCCACCTTCAGTGACTATGAACAGGGCAACTAAGCTCAGAGAAGGAAGAGAAGCCTAAGAGGCATGGCAGATGGTATCAGCATCCCTGCTAATGGAAAAAGTCTTTGTTGCATCCCGGAGAGCCTTGGGTCCACTACAGTCCTAGCCTCTAGCACTTGTCAGTCAAAAGAGGATTGCAAATGGAAAGCAGCAATGACTGGACCCCGCCATAAAATTCTGTGAATGAGGCAGAGAGATTACATTACACAAAACACCTCTCACAGCATTCAGAGCAGGTTACAGCATTTGGAAAATAAAAACAAAGTAAATTCTAAAAACATAGTTAACAAAACAGGATTAGGAGCCTCTCTCTTCCCCCATCCCATTAAATCTATTCAACTCCAAAGGTTCAAGCACAACCAGAAGAAGCTCACAGAAGGCTATGGAGAAATTCCATACTTCCCTGTTCTTCAGTTCACAAGTGCAGTAAGCGCCACTGCAGAATGGGAAAGATCTCAGTGCTCCTTCCTCACAGGCACTCAATGCATGGGTAACTGCCGCTTGGCAACTGAGCCTAGTTAAGCATGAAGAATTTTCTTCTCACTTACTGCTAACTTGTGGAAGAATGGATCTTTGCTTACAGCAGGAAGAGTTGCTTCCCTTGTTGTAAACCAAAAGGAAATGGTCAGCAGACTGGTATGGGTCTGAGCATTAGTGGGTGAAAACAACTGGTGTAGATCAGACTTCCACA